ACTGTATACCTAAAATGTACCGATTAATATATAAATTTTAAAAACCAGCAAGTTGTTTATTACCCTAATCGATTAAAAATCAGGAACTTGGAGTGGATCTTTCCCCATCAAAAAACTGAAAGGAATGTGACACTGGCTTAGTAGGTAGTGAGAAAGTTAATATTAGAAGCCGAGGAGATGGAAAGCCATGTTACAGAGTGCCAAATCTTTTGTTCAATTTGTTTCCTGCAGTAATTTGAAAGGCAAGTGCCTGCTGTAGCTCCAGCACTCACAAGTAACCACACTAGTAGTGTGTCATGGCTCCTACCTTCTCCGGTTAGCAGGGCATTACTGAGAAGTGGGGAGCTGTGGAAAGAATTGGTCAGTCTGCAGGCAGAAATGAAAGGGAGAGAGCATGGTTCAGAAATCTAGAGCCTCAAAATTTTGAAGAACTGACTGCTTCTAAATTCTTCTAAATGATGGAAAGTGATTTCACATTATACATCACTGGGGAAGCAGTTGCCCTTGTGGAGATAGGAAAACTTTTACTGCAGAACTTTGAGGAGCCACATGCTTGGGAGAATTCTCAAACTATTAAGCAAAAGTCAAGGCAAATCTGAGAAAGAAAACTTTAGCTGATGCAAGAGGAGGAACACGGGGACTTATGCCTTAGTCTACCTTCTCATTTCACACAAACATATTTAGAGTCAGCATCATGACACAAAAACACAAATCTCAAGGAAAACATTCAACTGATATCCCCAGTTGGTTGATACAAAAACGCCTTTAATGAAATACTCAGGTTTTTTTTCTACAGACAGAATCTCACTACTCAATCCAGGCTGGCCTTGGACTGGCCATGTGGCCCAGGCCACATGATCCTCCTGCCTCAGTCTCCCAAGCACTGAGATTACGCCACCACAACCAGCCTCATTTTACTTGGTCCCTTAATGGGTAGTTTTAAATTTAAAAATTATAAGTAAAGGGCCGGGGTTTAGCTCAGTGGTGCCACCACCTGCCTCAAAAGTGCAAGGTCTGGAGTTCCATCCCTG